CTGGCAGGCGGCTCTGCATGTGAGCGAGGGTGACCTACAGGGCAGCTGGGTCTTTCAGGGTCTCTTCACCCAGCTCTCATTCCAGCTGAGTCTAAGTGGTGTGCACATGCTCAGCCTCTACCTTGCACGCTGTATCTCACATTGCACATTTTCAGTCCCATTTTACAGAAAAAGAAACTGAGTTTCAGAAAAGTATGATCACTTGTCCAAAGACATCTAGCTAGAAAGTAGGGGAGCAAGGATTTGCAGCTAGCTCTTTTCTTTGTGACCCTCTCTGTTCTGTCATGTACACAGCTCCCCTTTCTAAAATCCTCCAGGCATATGCCTTCCTCCAGCCCCTTGCACTGTTCCCTTCACTTGGAATTCTTCCTCCAAATGGCTAATGGGGTTCTTCCCTCACCGTCTTCAAATTCTTGCTCCTATGTCATCTCCCCTCTCCAGAGTAGCCTTTCTGAAAATGGTCTCCAGCCCCTCACTACAGTTCCTTTGTCTCTCTCCCTTCTCCTCCTGAACATTCCGCCCAACACATTCTATGTCTTCTTATCTATATATCTGTTGAGTATGTGTTTCCCCTACAGCATGTCAGTCTCATAAGAGCATGTATTTTTCTGGCTTGTTCTCTGCTGTGCCCCTCTGCTCCCCCTTCCAGAATAGCTCATGGCACACATCGGGCACTTGATGAATGTTTGAAGAATAAACAAGTGGGGGGTGTGCGTGTCCTGTACCACTTGACCTGGCTTCACCCTAGCTCTGTCTCCCCCTCACTCCAGCCCCCACCCCCATGACAAAGGATTAGTTGGCCAGTTTGGAGCTCTTCAATCCCTGCTGGCTAATAGAACCAGGGCCTGTGGGGGTAAATGTCAGGGAATCGAGAGGGAGGGCTGAGGGCATCAGGAGGATCCTCTAAACTGGAGCAGAGAGATGCTAAGTGAGTTGGGACGGTCTTTGCAGGAGATGGCGCATACAGGGTCAGGGGCCTTGGCACTGGAGGTATCTCATTGACTAGTGTAGAGGAGGTGGTCACTCTAAATTTGTGCCTGATTAGCCTAGTGATGGTGTGTGCGTGTGTGTGTGTGTGTGTGTGTGTGTGTGTGATTAGGAGGTTTTGTTGTTGCATGGAAAAGGAAGGGGTACAGAGGAAATCGGCATGATGAAGCATTTGTTGTAATTTGGTCACTTTCTACTCTGGTGACAAGTAGAGAGAGAGAGAGAGAGTGTGTGTGTGTGTGTGTGTGTGTGTGTGTGTGTGGCCACAAGGAGACCCTGGACTCTGGATACACCATTCCCCTGTTTGTGGCTGTGGCTGCTCAGGAGGCCATGTGGTGAGTGCCCCACCCCCTTGCCTCTCCCTGAGTTGGGGAATTCTGTGCCACCCCAAATCCTCCCCCGGGGCCCCACAGGTATTTCTGCCCCAACCTGCCAGATCCTGCAGCCTGGGTTGGCCTGCCCCTTGGGGCCCACAGAGAAGAAAGACCCAGGAGCCCCCAGGTCTGGGCCCCATGAGGTGGTAGCTAGGTGAGGTAGCCTCCCTCTCCACACTACCCCTCCTTCCCTCATCCCATCCCCTCTCAATCCAAGACCCAAGATGCTCTGAAGTGAAGGAATGGGGGGCCCTGGAGGAATTCCATGGTGCAAGTGACCCAGTGCATCCAAACTGCCCTTCTAGTCCTCAGCAGGGCAAGTTGCTGGGCGCCCCACCCCCAGCATTATTCAATGGGTAGGCTACCCTCTTACTGCCCTGGAGGTGGGTGGTGAAAAAATCTGAGCCCCAGTCCCAATTATGTGACTTGGGGGTGTTGGGGACGGGGAGGTGTATGCCCACACAGGTCTGGGAGGGGTCCTCAGGGTTCAGAATGTAGCTGTGGCATGATAGTGGGAGGGGGCTGTCTGGGACCATTGGCCCCTGTCTCATCCTGAAGAGGGCAAAGTGGTGGTTGGGCATGCCCAAGGAGCCAGGCTTGGCGGCAAAGGGCACCCCGCCCCTCCTTTGCTGGGTTTTGTTCCCGGCCCCCCACCTGGGCACCCGGCCAAGCCCCAAGGCAGGGCCTCGTCCTAGGGAACAATGCCTCCGTGTTCCTCCCTCCTGGTGGAGGGGAGGTCGGGGAGGATGAGGTGGGACACACAGGGCCCAGCAGCAGGGAAGGAGGGAGGGATCCAGTAAGGGCCTCACTCCTAGGGCTAGTCGGGAGCCAGGGAGTTTCCCAGATGCCCCGGTGGGTGGGTGGGAAGCCTGAGCAGGAGGGAGCTAGATTGGGGATCACCTGAACTGGACCACGGGGTTTACAACGTCTTCAATGGCCGCAGGAGAGAGTTGAGTGGGATAAGAGGAGGGACTTCCTGAGGCTGAGTAAGGCTATGCAAGGGGAGGAAGTGGGATTAGTGTTTAGGATTCCTGGAATACCCAGGCCCGTGCCCTCCCCGTGGCAAAGAGTCTAGGACAGCTTACTGTGACCCTCGCCCCCTCCCATCGCTTTCCCCCTTGCCCACAGCCGCCTGGATTTCCTTTTCCTGTGTAGGCGCAGGGTTTAGGCCAAGAAGAATTCTGGGGTGCGCGTGATGAAGGCTGGGGTCCCAGCTCCCGCCCTACCCGCGCACGGAGAGCCTTTTTAAAAACTGGAACTTGGACCCTCAGCTCAGGTCCCCGAACTGAAAGTTGGGCCGGGGAGGGTGCCCAAGCATTGTCGGGACAAGGAGGCATAAAGTTGGGCCTGAGTTGCGATCGGACTCAGTTGGGGGACAGGAGAGAGAAAGTGGGGGCGGACCGGCTCCGGGGGCACATGACGGCGGCGCCCGCCCCGCCCCGCGCCCGCCCCCTGCCCGGCCCGGGCGGGGGGGTGAGGCGGGGGGGAGGAGACGGGAAGGTTTTAAAAGCGATTCAGCCCCGCGGCGGGCCGGCCAGTGAGTGGGATGGAGCGCGGCCGCCGACCGCCCCCCTCGTGTCTCCACCCGCTGCCCGCCAGCGTCTCAGCCGCCCGGACTCGGGGCGCGGCCGGAGCCCGTGGTGCCCGGCTCCCCTCCCCCGCGGTGAGTCCAGGAGGGACCCAGGAGGGAGGCAGCGGCGCCGCGGCGGCGGCAACTTTTCCGCGCCGGACTCGTGGGCGGAGTGGGGGTGCGCCTGGCGGGCCCCCCAACCCCTTGCGAAGAGAAGGGCGCCGCCCCGCTCAGGGCCGCCGCTGGTGGTGGTGGGGGCAGCGGAGACTCTGGGTAGGAGGCAGAGTCCTGGGGCGCCCTCTACGGAGCGGGGGAAGGGTGACGCAACCTCCACCCCTTCCCCAGTGTCTCCCTGGGACCCACCCAGCCACTGCTCCCTTGGGAGACTCCTGAGAGCTTGGTTAGGAGGGCGGGTCCCAACAGGAGTGGGGCTGCTCAAGGTGGGCAGGGAGCTGTGCTCTGCTTGGAGTAGAGGGGATGGATATGTGGGTGCCCTAGCCCCTGGCTTGCCCTTGGTGGGATGGAGCTAGAGAAGTGGGGGGGGGGACCCAGAATGGAATGGGTGGGGAGACAGATTCAAGTCCTTGACATGTCAACCTGCAAATGGGAAAAGGCCTCCCACTGAGGAGAATGGGTGGGGACTGGGTGCAGCCTGGGCTTGGGGAACCCCTCTCTTCCCTCCTCTCCTGGTCTAGGAGAGAGGGGCTCATTCAAGGTAGCATAGGAAGGGGGGCAAGGCTGAGAGTTTTCAGGAGGCTTGACTCCCTAGCCCTGCGCAGTTTGGGGTCCCATGCCCTATGGCTGCAGGAGGAGGATGAATCCAGCCCCTCCATCTTAGCCCCAGACTGACCTCTGACCCCTGGGAGGGACTTTACTGCCACCAAACCCCCAGCTCTGTACCCATTCAGCCAGGCCCAGACTCAGTGACCTCCTGAATGTTTTGAAGGTACTCTTGGCTCCCATCATCTACTTACTCCCAGCCAGCTGACCACCCCTGATGGGTGATATATAAGGGTGAGGCTGGGAGGTGTGGGGCCTCTGGCATGAGGGGTGTCCTCTGGCAGCCCTGCCAGTGCCAGCCCAAGCTGGAGGGCTGTACTCGACAGGTGCCCAGGCTTAGAGGCGAGGTGATGTTGGACACACCCTGTCCGCTTGCCCACGCATGGTGCCCAGGGCCAGCTTGTGTGCGTGTGTTCACACGCTGTAGTCCTGGGAAGGCACAGGCTCTGGGGCTTGGTGCCAGCTATGTCTTGGCGCCCAGAGGGGCACCCATTGCTCACTGCCCTTGGAGGATGCCCTCCAGGAGCTCCCTCAAGACCCCAACTGGTGAGCCTTGTCTGTGGGCCTAGAAGGGACCCTAAAATAGCTGCCAGTCTGGTCTGGGGCTGGCACGTGGAGCACAGGCGTGACAGGGCGTTTCCAGAGGACTTGGGCTTGTCTGTGCTGGTTCCGGCCTTGGAGTCTCTGAAGACCCTTGCTCTTTTTTAGAGAGAAACAGCAGAGACAGATGCTCCTGGGGTCCTCCCAGGGATCCCTTACCAACTCTTGCCAGTTTGAAGTGGAGGCCAATGTTCTGTGCAGGCCACAACAGGGCAGATCCCTGTTCTATCCACAGCCCCAGGGTAACTGATTATATGGGTATAATGGGGTAACGTGTTGCCAGAGGCCCAAGTGGTAAGTTGACATACCTTAAAACCTTTTTCACAGTTTGTCCTTCACCTATGGGAGGCTTGGTGGGGGACTCTGTTCAAGGTGAATAATGCTGATCAGAACATTGAGCAGTCTTGACAAAACGTCCTACCCCTCTCTGGATTGGCTGCCAGCTTTTTACCACTTTGGATGCGCTTTCTGCAAGGATCAGGCCTGCCTTCTCCTTAGACTTACTGCAGAAATGTGGGTCCAGCTCTGAACCCTCTGTACCTCAGTTTCTCCATCTGTACATGGGAGCACTGGGAAAGCTAGTGGAGAGAAGCATGCCCCCTGTTGCAGGTCTTCACCTTCGGGCCCTTTAGGGGTACTCTGGCCACCTTCTCTCCTGCTATCAGGTTGTCTAGGGTGGACATGGAGGTGTACCTGGGGAGGCCCTGCTTACAGAGCTGGTCACCCAGGAAGGACATACTCAGAGGGCAGTGGGCGTGGGTGTGTGAGAATCCTTGGGCAGAGAAGGACGCCGCCATGCTGGGCACGGCTGAGTCATGCTTCCGCGGCGCCTTGCCCCAGGGTGCTGGAGCCGGCGCCAACCTGGGTGTGGTCACTGAGCTGTGGCCCTGGGCAGAGCGGGCCTGGGTGGTCTGGGTTTGGGGGACCTGGGTGGTCGGGGGCCAGGGACCTAACTTCTGAGATGCTGAACCCTTGGCCTTGCCCCGGTCGAGGTCTGGCATCATTGTCCAGGACGGTGGTCACTCCCATCCGAGAATAGTCAGAGGACCTGAGGCTTGGCCTGGGAATTATCGGGGTACAGAAAGCAGGAGGATGGGGCAGCTAGTGACTCCCCTCGAGGCCAAAAGTCAGGCCAGGGCAGAGACCTGGACTTCCTGAGAAGATCGCAGAGGTGGATACCGTCTAGGGTGTACCCTTCATTATGTGCTCACAGGGGGATGTTAGAGGCCGCTGGGAATTCTGTGACTGGTCTGAGGGGAGTAAGGTTCAAGGCAGGAGTTGGAGTGTGTTGTGGCTGGGTGTAGTGGGGGCTGGGATGTGACTTGCATGGTTCCCCTATTTATAACAAATGATTCAGCCCTCCACTTACTCACCCCTTCCTGAGTCTCCCCTTCCCTCCCCACCCCCAGCCTGGGTGGGCAGTGGGGGCCCACCCACTTGTCAGCACCCTGCCTTTCTGCATCCCAGTGCCAGCTCCTGGAATGGTTGTGGTGAACACATTGGGGTCCAGGGTGGGCCGCTGGAGGTCAGGCAGCCCTTGGCTGAGTTGCCCAGGCTGATGGCTGGCTTGGCCGCCTGGGAGCCTCTGTGGAGAGTCTGGACGCATTAGGCAAAGCATTAGTGACAGGCGGGAGGGCAGGCGGCAGCGGCGGGCAGGGCGGGGCCTGCAGCCTTTGGTATTTTCCGATCCCAGCTGCTCTGTGAGGGTGGAAAGTATTTGGGGACCAGGCTTGGGGGCGGTGATGGTGGTGGCGCCCCCGGCGGAAGCTGCCCCTGATTCATTCTTGGAGCTTGGGGTTGGGGGGGGGGTGGCAGTATTCGTGCCCACATGTCTCATGCGTACACACCCTGTCTGCCGAGCTCATCCAGCATACATATACACATTGGTGTGTCTGGGGCCTGCTCGCCTCTTCCAGGCCCCCCTGGGGGCCCACCCTCCTCTCACTTTTCTCCAGCCCTTCCCCCACACCTCCAGCTGCCAGGGGGCTGGCTCTCCTTGGACACCAGCTCCCAGCCTGCAAGGCATGACATTGGTAAGGAGGGCCCTGGCTCCTGGGCAGTGACCCCTCCACGAGGGACCCAGGCCTTTTGTGCCTGTAGGGACGGGGAGTGGCCTTGGCCCTGGCCCTGGCCCGGGGCTCTGTGCAGGGGAAACCCCACAGGAAACGAGCCTGGCCAAATGGCCGCCCTTCCCGTTCTAGTCCCTGGGACACGAATGTGCTGTCTCACTTCCGGAGGCGGCCCAGAGAGGCTGGCCGCTCCGCAGGGCCTCGTCTACTCCTGGTTGGTGCCCCCAGACCCTGGAGGGACGGACATGGCTGGACTAGGGCCCAATGGAACCAGATAGTGGACAGTGTGTGTGGGGGACAATACAGGACATTTTCCTCTGTCTTCCTGGAGTGTAGGTTGCACCAAACCTGGGTGCTAGGGTCCTCATTTCTAACATCTTCCCTGCAGCTGGTAAATGGTAATCGTAGAGCCCTGTCCTAATTATCCTTTCACTCTGGGGAGAGATTCTTTCCAGAACATCTCTGCTTGGCACATGGGGAAACAAGTGTGGAGCAGTTTCGTGACTTGCCCATAGTCACCCAGCAAGGAAGCTTCTGCCAGGCTGGCTCCGGAGTTGTGGGGCTCCGCTGCAGGGCCCTTGTCATGAGGTAGATTTCTGTTTCCTGAACACAGAGCTGGTTTCGTGGGTGTGTTGACCCAGCTGTTCCATGGAGCCCCCTCCTCTCCCCAGGACCTGGTGCTTGGTTAAATGTTCTGCTCTGGATACCTTGAAATTCTTAATTTGTGAACAAGGGGCCTCATTTTCATTTTGCATCGAGCCCCATAAATTCTGCAGTGGTCTTGGTACCGGGCACTTGACAAGGGACCCTGTTGGAGAAACTTCCCTGCGTTACTTGGCACAGATCCTGGGGTCCATTTTACAGATGGGCAAACTGAGGTTTGGAGGACATCTGGGAAACTGTGAGTGGTATTTACACCAAAAGCCTGGGTATCCAGAGCTCAAGGAGCCTGTGTGCCTATGGGGAGCACCGGGAGGCGCCTGCTGCTGGCATCCGCTCTGGTGCAGCTGGAGCTGAGACCTGAGGAGACGGGCCATGGGGGGAGGTCCTGGTGGTTTCCTCCTGCCCTTCAAGCTTCTAGGAAGTGGCGCCAGCTGGGGTGAGATCACTTCCTACCCGCCTGCCCGCCACCCCCTCAGCTTCCTCTCCCCATGGCCCCATTTAGCCTGCCCAGGGCTTAGTCCTTGTGTGTGTGTGGGGGGGTGGGGGTGGGGTAAGGGGGTGGGTAAGGTGGTGAGGTAGGGGAGGGGGGACAGGAGCTGGCAAAAGTAGCAGGGCTGGAGGAAACCTAGTCCCAGCCTTCCTGGTCTAAAGGGACCAGCCAGGCATTTGTGCCTCTCCATGCCTGGGGGCCAGGGTATGGCTGCGGCAGGGTATCCAGCTTGGTGATTAGCCCTGTCTTCAGACATGGAGATAAGACTTTCCTGCAAGGTCTAGGAGGGTAGCAGCAGGCAGAAGCTGGAAGACAGATGTCCTCAAATCTCATTACCTCCTTTGCTCTTTCCCTCCTAGGTGACAGCCGCTGGCCCCTCCCGGTGTCCCCCCCACCCCTGTGCCATGGCCGGCTGGGGTTCCTGGGGATGGGATTTGCTGCCTGTCACAAATCACATTGCCAGGGATTTCCAACCGACCCTGAGCCCTGCCTCTGGGGCCTCCACTGCTGCCACCACCACTGCCAAGGACCTGCCTGGGGATGGCATGGCAGAGGTCCCCCACCGCCTGCATCTGGCCTGGGGAGCAGGGCTTAGCTGCTTGTGAACAGGGTCCACACCAAGTCGTGTTCACAGTGGCTAAGTTCCGCCCCCGGGGCCCCCACCTCCTCCTGCCCTGCCTCCTTTCCCACCACCTGCCTGGGTCTCCCTGGGCTCTGCCTCCTGTGCCTACTGAGCTGAAACACAGTTGATTTGTGCAGACTGGCTCAGTTCAGCAGGAACAGGAGTCGAGCCCCCTCGGAGCCTGTGGCCCCTGCCTTCCCTGGGTGGGCTGATGTCTGGGGGAGGAGATGAGGACCCAGACCCAGGCCTGGGTCTGGAGGAGGGACTTGGGGAGAGAGGGGGCCTGGGATAGGGTGGCTGGATCCAGCTGTCTACTGCCAGCTCCCTCCCCCAACTCTGCATTTGGGGCCCCCCCCCCAGGACTACCTCCTGCTGGGCTGGGCTCCCAGAGAGGACAGATGGGTGGGTGGCCTTTCCATGTAAAAAGGAAGCAGGCTGCATACCCCCCTCACTCATGGCGGGGGCCACAGCTGGGCCGCACCTTTCCAGCAGTCTGTTGTTACCCAAGAGGAAACAGCCTTGGGCCTTCAGACCGTTAAATGCCAACGCTGGGCTTCCGGAACCAGGCTGGGTTGACCTGAGAATGCCTGGCCCCTCCTTGAGCCCTGAGGATTCCTAACTTGGGGGGAGGGGCCTTGATACCCTTCTGGCACAGGGGTGGGAACTGAGGTCCTTATGGCCCTGGAAAGATACAAGCTTGTCTGTTTAGCCCTGGGTGGTCTTTGGAACTGTCCATTATCAGATGGGAGGGGACTCTTTTTAGGGTATGACTGGGGAGGCAGAGTGACTTGCCCAGGCTCTGTGGCTGGCGCAGGGGTGGGGCAGCCAGAAGCTTGGAGGAGTCACTGCGGTGTGTTGTATCTCTTGTCGAATTTAATAAAACCTGCCCCCACCTCATTCCTGAAGGCCTGGTGTTTCACGCCTACCTCCTCTCCCTGGAGCCCCAGACTTTTGGGTAGGGGGGGTTGGTCGACCTGAATTCACTGCCCGAGCACCCTCTCCCTGTCCTGGCCCCAGCTGTGCTAAGTAAGGCAGGCTCTAACTTAGTCATTTGGGTGGAGGAGGTGTCGGGTGTGGAAAGGTGACTCTGAGGGGTGTCCTGGGGTCGGGAGTGAAACAGGGAAACCCTGGACTGTAGAGACTGACTCTTAGGACTCCCATGGTGGTGACAAAGGGGGCTGTTGTGGCAGGGACTTAGTGCCTGCCCCATGAGGAATGCCATAGGCCTGGGTGGGGGCTGACAGAAACCATGGGTTTTCACAGATAACTGTGGATCTAGTGACATTTGGAGGCGACTGAGATACAGGACCACTCCAGCGTAGGGGTGAGATTGGGGTGCTGGGGGCTTGAGCTTGAGGTGAAGACGGGTCGGCAGGGGGCGCCACTTCAATATAATGCCTGGAATTATTTTCGGATGACTTTGAAAGTTGTGGGGCACAGTAAGGGCCGCCGCGTTTTCAAGGACGGTATTTGGGTGCAGCTGAGGCCACAGGGGCTCCCTTACATTCCAAGCCTCCAGAGCACGCCACGGAGCGCGCAGGCAGGCCCCCGCGCCCGTACCTGGGGAACGAGGGGCGGGGCCGCCCCCAATTGGCCCCGTCAACAGGAGGGCGGGGCTGCGAACCAAACGCCCAGAACTGGGCCTAAGTCCTGCCCACGGGCTCGCGCGCGGACTTGGCGCCCTCTAGCGGCCGGCCCCGCCCCTCCGGGAAGCCTGTGTCCTCGTCTGACCCCGCCCTAATTGACCCAGTCGGTCCATCGTCAGTCTCTGAAGACCTGAAGGTCCCGAGGGAGGCGCTTGTCAGCCAAGGAAGGAGGGCAGCCGAGAACTGGACATCCCTGATTCCTAGTTTGGGAATTGGAAACCTGATCTCTAAGACATGCCCTGACCGCGCCCCACTGACCACACCCACCGTACCTCCCGCCACGGCCAGGACCCGCCCACCGCGACTGTGTGTGAGCCCAGCGTTCTCACCACTGGGGCGGGGTGGGAGTGGGGGGAGTACTCCCAAAGGGCTGCATCGGACAAGGCCCCCCTACTACCCCAAGAGCTTGGAGACGAGTACCCCCAATACCGGGATCTGGAACCACGGCATCCCCTAGTGGCCACTCCCAGCAACTTCCTACCCAGGCACCCCTTTCCTTTGGAACCCGAGTTTTCCAGTCTAAAATGGGGATGATAAAGACTTGCAGCACTGGGCTGACAATGAACAACTGATGACAGGTGTACAGCATCCTGGGCAGGGCTTGCTCCCGGCCACCACTCCACTCCTGCCTGCTATTATTCACACTGTCATCACTCACTGAAACAGGACATCATTCCCATTTCATCCCTTGAAGTTGTACCCAGAGATGAGGCAGAAGACTCATGAAGGCAGCCCTACCCAGATTAGAGGGGGTACATGTCACACCTTCAAAATTAGAAAGAAAATGCTGTGTTCAATATTAAAAAAAAAAAAAAGGAGGGGGGAAGGGAAATACAATATATAGTTCAATAAATAGAAAAATGTTACAAAATGACATGATCTTTTGTCCTTAATCACAAGAGGAGAAAAGAGGGAGAGGGTGGGGGAACTACTCTCGCCCCCACTTCCTGGGCCAAGGGGAGGAGGTAAAAGAGGCAGTGGGACTAGAGACACGAACAGAAATGTGGAGAAATATGGAACGGGAGTAAGTGAAGAAGAGGAGCTGGGAGGCACAGGTGAAAGGGGCAAATAATGCCAAGATGCTGGCCTCTCCCTTTCCAGGTCAGGGCGAGGGTCCCTGGCTCTCCTGCACTTGTTCCTCCCAACACCAGGTTTGGAGGACAATGTGAGCCTGGCTCAGTTCCTGAGTTGTATGTCCAGTGACTAGCTGGTAGGAGGGAGAGCAATGACCCCCCCAGCCCACTCTGGGACCCTGGCACCCATGGGGAGAGTGTCCTCATTGGACAGGGGGTGAGGTATGTGGTTGAAGCCTGAGGCCTCTTCAAATCCTTCAGTTGGGAAGAGCCACTGGTCCCAGCTGGGCAGCCTGGAGGGGACGGGGACCCTGAGGCAGTGAGGGGAGGGTGCAAAAGGAGCTTTCAATGCCTTAACCGAAGTCCCCTAGCCACCTAGAGTGGGATGCAGGGAGTGTCTGCTACACTGAGGACAGGTTTCTGGAAAGTCCTACCTCCCAGCTTCCCTTCCCCATGCACCCCACCCTCCAGCCTAAGCCAGGTCTACAAGGTCAGGGAGGAGATTGCCTATTGCTTTTGGTGCCCAAAGCAGGGTCACACCAACTGCCCAAGCACACACCCCCTTCCAGAACTCTGGGTGGCGCTATGGCTTCTGATCCTTGCGTCTCACATACTGGCTCCAGCACTCCTAGGCACGCACATGGCAGGATGCTGCCCCTGCCTCTCACCTCCAGCTGGGCTTGGGGTGTGGGGACTGGCAAGACCACTTAACTCCTGCCAGGATCCTTCCCTGACTTAATACTGAAACGCCACAAGGGCCTCTAGTGTTGAGGCCCAATGGAGAGTGGGTGGCCAAGAGGCAGGCATGCAGTGGGATTACTCCCACCTGCTGGCTGCTCCTCAGCCAAAACGCTCCCGCACCAAGAGCATGAGCTTCTTCTTGCCCTTGTAGGTCTGTTTGAGGTTCTCCAAGAACTGGGCAAACTGGAGATGCCCGTCAGGTGCCAGCAGGAAGGTCTCTCGGGCCTTGCCCAGGAACTCAATAAAGTCACCGTAGTGCCGCGGACTGATGTGTGTGAGGCGGGAATGGCTGGTGGTGATGTAGGCTGCCACTGCCGCATCCAGGAGCTGGCAGAGTGGCGCCCGGTCAGTGCCTAGTGGCTTGGCAGCCCGGCGGGCCCCCAGGGGGCCCAGGCCAGGTGCTGAGAGGGTCCAGCGGCGTAAGATGTCAGAGAGCATGGGGGCACAGTGGATGCTGCGAATGATGAGGGGGACAAGGGCCGAGAGCTCGTGGCGACCCAGCGAATGGCTGAGTGAGCAGGCCCAAAGCACATCATTGACAGCTGGGTGGCTGTCTTGGTTGAAAGCGATGCTCAGCTGTGCCAGGGCCAGCGTGGCCAGCTTGTAGGCACGCAGCGGGAGGCCACGGTGCTCCATATAGCGTGCCACGGTGAAGAGGTGGGCATGGCCCAGGCCTCCAGCTGCTGCATCCAGCACAATCTGGTAGGCTGCCTCAAAGGCCGCGTGGTTCTTCTCACACAGGGTGAGGGCCGGCAAGGCGCAGTTCTGTGGGTCTTTCATGGCGCACTGCAAGGCCAGGGTTCGGGCACAGGCCCAGAGCTCCTCCCGTCGGGGAGCATCCAGCTGAAGTCGTAACAGTGTGGCATGCGTGGTACCTGTCACGGCCACGATGGTGGCTGCCTCCACCGGTGTGAATAAAGAATACCAGTTCTGCATGATGTTCACCAGGGCTTGCAGGCCTGTGGCAGGGGAGATGTGCAACTGGTCAGGAGAGACGGGGGGTGGGCATGTGTGCATGGGTTTACACGAACTCTGCCATTTCCACAAGTCAGGACTGGAGACCCTCTGCCTCCATCTCGTGCTGAACAGAAATGGTGCTTTACCTTCCCATAGGGGCAGGGGGCAGCTGGACTGGGTGAAACTAAGTCCTGAAGCCAACGTCCCTTCCCCAAGCCCTTTAGCCTGGCCAGCCTCTGGGTCTCTGTCGAGCTCAATCCCCCTATTTGACATTCTCTCCTGGCTTAGCTCTGAGCAAGGACTAGAGTCAGGGGAAAGTTTGCTTCTCTTTTGTCCCTCAGTGACACCTGAACAGGAAAAAGGAAATGAGTGGCAGGCTCCCTGATGACTCACCGATCTCTGTGGCACAGCTAACCAACCAGCGTACCATTTCCCTCCGCCGCCAGGTCATAGTGTTCAGGGTCATCCGCATCACCTGAAGGGTAGGAGGGGAGAGATGGTCACACAGAAAAACCCTAGGTTGGCTCCTGGAGGGGTTGGGAGTCCTGAGGGGCCTGGGAAAATTTGGAAATTAAGTTGTTGAGTCAATGAGCCAAATGATTTGGGTTAGAGGATTCACCTGTCTGGGCCTCAGTTTCCTCATCTGCGAAATGGAGATAAAATAACATCTACTCTTGGGCCCTTGCTGGTGGTGCAATGGGTAAAGCTCAGCATTATGAAGCTATCCACATGAGTTCGACCCCTGGCCAGGGAGATGATCCACATGGTGCAGCAGACTTCTGACCTGCCTGCTGCTCCCCTCAGCAGTGTATTTGTAGATCTGCCTGTTCTGCTCCCCACTCTGTCTCTGTTGAATCCTCTCTCACCCCCCACACCTCTAGCCTGTATTCCAGTTCTTCTATGCATAAAAAAAAAAAATCTTAAAAAAAAGCATCTAGTGAAATAAGCCAGAAAGAAAAGGAAAAATACCGGATAGCTTCACTCATAGCAGGAGTATAAAGGACCAGGGGAGAAAATAACAATAATAATGAACAACTATATACCAGAGACATTTTACAGGGGTGGAGTGGGGAATGGGATCAAAAATGGTGGGGGGAGGGAAGTGCACTGGACTATGGTGATGGCACCTGGGTGATTTGGTGATGGGAAGCCCATGGGGATTGCAACTAAGAT